TAACAAAGTCAGTCATGCATATAATATCACTCATCAAATTTGATGGGTAAATCGTACGCATAAATGATCAGGTAGTGTTTGTCCAGGCCTTAATCCGTTAAAAATAGAAATCGATTATGGGGACACAAAATAATTAGGTATGACACGCACTAAGCGCAATAAAGAGTAAGTAAACCTGAATTTGGGCCTGGAACCCAAGCTAAGGCAAATGCTTCATGTAACGCTTTCATTTCGTGAAATGTTTGTAAAACCATTGACTTGCCTACTGAATGTGTACATCAAAATGTAAATAATGGGATTGGTTTTCCAAATAAATACTGTAGCAACAATAATCTTTACACGTGACTATAATTACATGACATGAACTGGTATATACGCAATCATGCCGCGGTATTTAAGCACTTAATTTGTTTTTTAACACAGTGCAGTATAATTCTATTTTTTTTGTTACTATAACTGAGAAATGCCTTCATTGCCAGATAACCAGGTCCACAAAATGGGTTTCCTATAACAGTAGCTATGCTCTTGGTGAAATTTAGTGGCAATAGGCCTCCTTAAGCTGAAGCAAGCGATTAGAGGGGAATTTCATTATCTTAAAGGTTGAAGTATATGCAAAGAACTTAGTTAGCAGAATTAAGTTTCATTAAAATTTGTTTATAAACCAAAATGTTTTTTTCCAGCAATTTTGCACCATTTGTAGACTATTGTATTGACTCGAAAATGGGGTTCGACCAACTGCTGGAAACCCCAGATCACGAGCCTAACTAAAAATAAATATACGACTTTCATTGAAGCTTTAGAGGCGAGTATTAAAAGTTCAAAGTTTATTATAAATCTTAAATCCAGTTTTCAATAATTTAAGTTTAACAAAAGTATTATACAAACTTAAAACAAAATTTAATAATAGATATTAAACAAACATGTTGTAATGCCTTTTCAATTCAATAATGATCAAAAGCGGGGTTTACCGTTTATTATACATACATTGTTGGCTTGTGCAAGCTATACCATATATATATATATATATATATATATATATATATAAATAATATTTATAATATATATAACATATAGCATATATATATAATACATATACATACATATATAATATATTTTATATATTATATTATCTTTTTGCTTTTGTATTTAAATGTAGCTTAAAAAGTTTGCCAATTTGTACTAATTCTTCGTCTTATATTAAATCTACAATACAAAACTAATTAACAAATTTATTTGTTAATATATAGACGGATGAATACAGTACATAACATTTACAAATTAATAAAGTAGTCTGTTAAATATCTTCCATAAAAACACCATTAAGCAGCAATAGATATATAAATAAAACACTCGCATCTCTGACCACATCTTATTCAGAATTAAAAAAAAAAAAATTAACTTGTTAATAATTATTTACAATTCAATAAAAAATTATACACATGGAAGACAGATACCTTTTGCCAAATTATAAATTGCTAAAATG